TCTCTCTCTCTCTCTCTCTCTCTCTCTCTCTCTCTCTCTCTCTCTCTCTCTCTCTCCTGTTCTCGGTAAACTGAGAATCGCCAGGCTCGCATCCTCTTCATCTAGCAACATGTATACCCACGTATGCGCACCCCTCATATCCTCCCTTCCGTCCCCTTCATTCATCTATCTCGTCCCACCCTCGCAGCCTCCCAGTTTTCTCCTCCAGTTAATTGGTCGCGTCCTATTTCTTTTCTATCTCTCGTGCTTTTCCTTCGTTGAGTATCGAAACGCGGGAACGACTGGCAGCTGGATTTATTGATTTCGCGATGTATATATCTTCCCCATCGTGATTCTAGTTTCACCGGAACTACATTTTACATGCACGACTCATCCGTTTTATTTTTTAATAAAATACGTAAGCCGCGCGCGCACGAATCTCTGCATTAGATCGTTACGATATGCACAAGTATATAATATAAACTCGATATCTCGTTTTTTTTTTGCAGAGAAACAAGTCCGATACGTTGTGAATTGGAATTTTCCAGTTTTCAATATATAATAACTTTATCAGCTATCTATTAGCTCTTCATCAATCTTGTAAATTATCTATCAACAGTATATGTTCATACACAAACAGAATTTTTTCTTAAAATTTATCTTGAAAATATGACAGTCATGGGACAACATTGTATTTCGAAAAATTTTAATATAAATCTCTCTCATTCATTAATAAAACTACAATAAAGTATAAAATAAGTTTGATCAATTTTACTGAAGTGCATGATAAAAATTTTTTAAATATTATATTACCACAACTATCATATTTTCAAGGTAAATTTGAAAAGAAAATTCTTTCCGTATACGAGATTTCCTCTAAATACTCGCTAAATTACCTGCAATGTAAATTAACTTTAATCTTAATTTAATTTACTTATCTTTTTCTAGTTCTAACAATTAGAAAAGAATAAAGAGTAAATTAAAATTAATTTACGTTGGTAAAAATGAACAGTTTACTAGCATCTCCGTACGGGTAACATATAATCAAAGATCTTGAACACGCCAATAAATCTCACGGCAGCTTTCAGATATATTTACAATTCTATATTACATTTTTACATACTTGAACAACAATTTCACATCATAGATTCTCAGGAGAGAATCTGTCGCAGAGTATAATTATTTGATTGTTCGTTACCGAGACCGCTGTCGAGGCAACGCACGAGGATAGTTTCTCTTAGTTACATTTTATACACAATTTTAATATAGGAACAGAAACGAGAACGTTAGTTACGAGTTTTAGCCGCTGCCAATCGTTAACAACTTCTATCACACACATTTTCAGTATTATTATACGAAAAGATAGTCTACTATAACCGCTATTGACATACGTGCTTCTGTACCTATCTTAATTTTGATGAGTGCTTCATGCCTCCATTCTGTTTAAAATCTTTTCAGTACATATTTCACATGAATTTATTCCGGTTATTGATGCCTTGCATTTATAACGTTAAAAATGAATGAAAATATTATGCTTCTATATGTATGTGATTAATAATGCACTGACTTAAATATTGTTTTTATTTTGTTAGACTTGTCGTTGCAGAGAAATCAAGCTCACAGTTAGGATGCATAAAATTCTTATTTACATAAACAAACACATTAGCAAAGCGAGAAATTAGAAAAATATATTTAATTCCTTGCAGCGTAATTGGATAAAAGTGACAAAGACTGTATTTTGGACACATGATTAATTAACAGTATATATTATGCAGTAATGAAGATAAACAGAATTATATCAATTTTGAGAATGTTCGAAAACACATCTTTAGTATGCAATGAGTCATATTTGAGGATATTAATTAATATTTAAACGTTTCTTATTTTAAAACTTATTACAGTCTTGACGTTTTGATACTGAAAGTTTTCATCTTCAAAGTCTCAGGAGTCATTAACGAGTATCAAGATGAGTTTAAAACTCTGTATACATATAGCTTATAACATATAAAAAATTCTAAATGTAATTTAAAGAATGATTCGCGTCAGTTGTGCAATAAATTTTTTGTTATTGTTTGTGTCTTATTCAAAATACTTCCTTTTTTTGCGATTACATTAAATATGAAGAAATTCCATTGAATACACAATAGTTTAAATAATAAAAGCTGCGTATTTTATCTCACACAATGTACATTTTTTTATATGTCAAAAGGCGAATGAATGATTCACTAAAATATGAATCGAAAGGACTAGATTGCAATTCATTGTTAATAATGCCTTCGAGGCTTTGCAATCAAAAAAATCTTCTATAATATTCTCAATAGTATTCATATCTCAATGGTAGCACTTGCATGTGCTTGGGATATTTCATTCTATTGTATTAATTAAACTCACATCACGAGAATGCGCAGATATGATTGTGAATAAAAAGAATCTAACAGAAGGCATATCTGTATTCGCGCTTTTTATGTTCAAAAATCGAAAATCAGTTGTATGATTATCGTACATTGTAGACAGCAAGTTCGATAAAATCGGAAATAATCTTCCGTTATGACTGATCATGACTCTGACTCACATATCCTCACATACTTTATCAGTAGTACGCGACGCGGTGCTGAATTGCATTCATACAAAATTGAATTAGAATCTTAACATGATTCCATCCGCGTTGCGCATTCGACGTCAGAATTGTGCAACGTAGTGTAAGTACACTTTTTTGTCAAGACCCTCAAATAGTCATGTCGCAGCATCTCAAGAAAGCCTCGACGGATCTTGACGATGAGGTACCACTACCCAACCGTTGTTTCCGGAAACAGCGGGCCCTATTGTCGGCGCAGCAGCGGCACTCGTTAACGCCCCCCTCTGATCCTTCATGATCTGCAATTGTCGCGTTAGGTTGCGACACAATTTCACCAGGGACTCCTGAAAGTCGCGTTAATCGCGATAATCATCGAAATTGAAGACTTCTTAAACTTAAGGATTTTTTTTTAAAAGTTAGATTATCATGTAATAAGAACTAATCCACTGGATCCAACGGTGCAAGCGAATGTAGAATTTATACGAGCAATATAAAAAAGAAAAACCTTTTCATCTTCCAGTTTTCGTAACTCCTGCTGCTGTCGGAGACTATCGAGGCTCAGATTCTTCAACATCTCGTTCTTATGTTGGCTTAATAACGCTATCTCCGTTTGGACTTTGAGGTATTCTTCGGCTATCTGCTTGTGCTCCTCGAAGATCTCTCGCGAGAGTTTGCACGTGTCGTCGGGCGTGAGAGGTCTCAGATCGGCATCAAGTAAGCGACAAAAGTCTTCGGTCGTAGTGCTGCTACCTACGGCATTCCAAGATTTTATCACGGATGTTGAATCACGAAATTCGTCATATCCGGCTGCAATGAAATACGCATTATTAGGAATATAGTCTTAAATGTACAAGGGTAGACAAGACTTGAGCATATCTTCAGAATATTACAACATTTTATGTTTACACTGGCAAACAATTCGTGAAGATTATCATGTCGAATTAGTTTATCAAACTACCATGCGCTTTCAATCTTGCTAGTTGTTCAAAAACATAATTTCTCTAATTCTAAATATTTCTACTCTGCGTATCTTCGATGAATATGTACTAACGCAGTAGGACCCAGCAGCGTTTGAGAGTGTCGGTGCTAACGATCTCCGGATAGTCGTCGCACATGTCGATCATCTAGCAGCCGCTGCTCTCACGCGAGCCACAGTTACCTCGACGACGTTAACATTCACGATTATCCTCCAATAATGCGGCCGATCCTGTCGGCATAATTTCTTCGTTCGGTTCCTCGAAATCAGGTTCAGGTCTCCATCCTAGGGTAAAAGGTAGCAGTCTCGAAAACAGCGTGATAGAGAATCGCAGTGAATATCAAGAATCTCACTGGGACGGCTGAATTCTCATAATTATTGCGATATCGCTGACGGCTTAATTAATGGAATGATCCGGGAATGGCCGTGTTAAAAAAGTATATCAATTCCCGGTCGGATCGATCGATGTGTCCTCGATAAAATCGAGCTCGTATTGCGCGCTTGGCGACCTGCGATCGGCGGGAGATGCTCCTCCGTAGGGAGTCGGCTCTCTACTAAACAAACGTACGTCTATATTGGGGATGCTGACTCAGCCACACCTGCTTCTAAATACTCCCCACCCTGGCTCCGACGTTGAGGAACGTCGCGGAGCGTATGCGAGCCAAGAACAAAACGCGCTTCGTGGCTTGATTCATCCTCGAGAGAATCTCATTTTTTATTCGTCTTGTCGTCATCTCTTTATCATCTTTCTCCTCTCTCATCCTTTTCTTTTTTGCGCATAATGCCTTAGTTTCTTCTTCTTTCTTCTTAACATTTCTTCCACTATTTCTACAAACATCTCTGCTCCTCATGTTCCCATCTCTGCTGGCGCGATAGTCGTCCTCTTCTTCGTCGTCGTAACGTGCCAATCAAAAGCGAGTCACACGTCCTACCGATTAGTCGTCAGTTAAATTTAGTGCACGCGCACATCGCGGATGCTATTGCGGCTATACGGGCCCTTTGCCAGGGTATATCACCGGCGAACTCCGCCGATCGACGAACCCTCGATGAATATAGCATGCTGAGCTTATAACTCCCTTCTCCGCCTTCTGGTCGCATCTCGAGATTGACCGCAATTAAATTATTTATACGGTTGTCATATAAAAATATATAATTCTGTACATGAGGAAATACTTTTTTCTTTTATACATAGACAATAATATATATTTGTGAATTTTTACAAACTTCAACGTTTAAAGTTATTTAACAAAATTTATATGTCACATATATAAATATCCATATATAAATTTAATATTATCGAGAAAGATAATATTAAGAAAAATATTAAACGATGCGATTACATTTGGATGACTTCACATAAACGGAATAATTATCATATTGAGATAATAATTACGACAAATCGCATACGTGGAAGTACATTATGAGCAATATGCGTTAGTCGAGGCAGACGAGAGACGAAGACGCGATCGTGGAAGGCGCCCGGTGAGTCAGTGCTTAGTATTCTAGGCCGAAAATAATCTACTTCGTGTACCACAAAGCGCTACTCTGTAAGCTCAAAATGCATGCTCATGTCAGCTCGCCTGAGGTATTGTGTCCATTAAAACTTTTTATGTTATCTGACCTATTAATCATATTAATTTTGTATCTTTTTCATAATTATGCCGAAAGATGAGATAATATGATGAATTATGATAGTAATCAATAATAGTATATAAAAAAGTATATCTTTTTTTCTGTCATTGATTGATGATCATATCAAATTTATGATATTTATAATACAAATACAATGATGTCTTATATACATACGTATTATAATATTGCGTGCATCGTATATGTTGTTCAATTTCTAGAATTTGTATATAAACCTATGTATTTATAATATAATGTTGATATGTGTTATAAATATACATAAATCTAGATCTTTCATTTGAGATAAATTTAGATTTTCTCTATTTTCCAACTTGTTCCATATTTTTGTACTTATAGATAATGCAATGTGATTGTACATATTATTAATTTAATTCATGCATTGATTACCGCATAAGGCATTAAACGGGTAGTTCTTGCGCTAATTTTCCTGGCAATGTGCCTTCAACGCGACAGAGACAGGTCTCGTATAGACAGCCAGTTTGGTGCCACAGCCTCTCTGCGATCTTTTTTCGGCACTTGTTCGGAGAAATACTTGTGAGTACGTATTCACATACAAGTCCCGTAAAACTCTTTCTGTTTATTTATGAGTAAATCAAAATCAAAGCAATCAATATCACATTTTCATGTACAAAAAATAACATCAATTAAGTAAAAAAAATGTATTTTGTACATTATACTTCAAGATATATAAGTTTTTTTTTGCAAAAACGTAATGCACGATAACTAGAATTTAATCGCACAAATTCTAAATTTTCTATTTAGTATATTTTTTCATAAAATAATTCTATGTTAATTAATAACTTATTACGCAGAACGTATTACGCAGAAAGTATATCTTCATATGAGTAAATCAAAATACACTTACTTTGATTATTTTTCTTTGTCTTTTGAACCACTTTGTCTAATCCGGCCATGTTATTTGGAATTTCCCAAGATGTATCAGAAGAACTCGGCAAATCCCAAGCATTCTATAACATGTTAAAAGTTATTATACATAAAATTACTTTTAACAGAAAGAAGAAGGGAGGGAGGGAGGGA